CTCTGCTCATGCTAAACCCTCCGCTGTTCTCCTTCAGGACACCTCTACAAGGTCAATGTACCAGTGATGGTGACCCGCGGAGCTCAGCACGTTCTGATCCGTCCTGCTCAGGCCCCTGTCACACTCCGGCCCGCCTGCCTGACCCAGCTGCTCCAGCCTACCTGCCCAACTCCACGGCCCCAGCCTGTCCCCCTGACCCGGCTCCCCCGGCACTGCAGACTCCTCCAGAGCCCTCCTCAGCCTCTGCCAGCCCCGGAGAGTTCACCCTGGATGGCATTGAGTTCAGCCCACAGCCCGTAGATGCCAGCAGCCACACACCGGCCCAGCACTGCGGGTACAGCAGCTTCCTGAAGGAGAGAGACGCAGACCCTCCAGACCTGCAGAACAACACCAGTCCTGGCCAACAGGTAACCTGCTTTGATGATCACCTGTAAACACACAGTACAGCGGGTGAACTCCAGTCACTGATGATGGCAGACACCTGAGCTCACCTGCTGAAGTAAACGCTTGGGTCAGCAGAGCCTCTGTAGTGTTTAACAGTGATGTTATCACTGCACTGAGTGGACATTGAGCTGACCTGAACTGCTCCATCATGTGAGCGTTGTTATTCTGGAGTTTGCCCGTTCGTCTCTGAGCTGCGTCGACTGACTGCTGTATAAAACACTGTAGGAATAAAGCTCACGTGTTCACCGTAGAAAAAACCGCTGGAAGTTTTACCTGAAGGATGGCGTGATGTGTTACGGAGGGAAGGATTATGTGTTCTCCAAGGCTGTGGGTGAGGCCGAGTGGTGAAACGGCGAACCGATGCGCTCAGAGCTGAAACTGCTGCAGTTTTCCTTCACACACATGCTGATTTACATTCGTCTAGGATTGTCTTTGTTTGTGATGTCATACTTATATCCTCTAATACAGCTGTAAATGGTAGTGCTTGATGAAAAATAGTGTTGAAGCAGTGTCTGTTTTTAGTTTTAGTTTGTTTTTCCCCTCGTCCTATGATAAATCCATCAGAAGTGGACCGAGTTCTTCAGTTCATATGATTTCTTGTGTTTGGTTCATTTTGAAATTAGTGAACAGTCATTCCAGTGCTGTATTGGAGCTCATCTGCTGCTTTGCTTTGACACATGAGTTTTGTGTTGTTCCTGCAGATTAAAATCAGGAAACCTGCAAGTTCACGTCTTTCACAGTGTCTTGTGTGTGTGTGTGCATGTGTGCATTTGTGTACGTGCGTGTGTGTGTGTGTGTGTGCGTGTGTGTGTGTGTGTGATGCTAAAACGGCTGCATGGAAGGATCTAGTGTGCATTCTCATGGAACATACTGTAAAATAGTGCAATGTTGACACAGACCCAACAGTAATGCAGTTGGTTTGGTCATTTAATTGTGTCTACTTGTTACTGCCGCTTATTAATGGATGAATTTGCTCTTCAGTGTTTGGGTTTCAGCCCTGATCATTGACATTACACTGAACTTTACCTGTAATATTTGGACTGAAGCGGTCTCTGTTTACTAGACCTTCATCTGTGTTGAGCTGCTTTCACACAGTCCAGCACAACAGAAATAAAGATGAAGAACATAACGTAAAACAAAAGTACACATTAGTATCAGGGATGCTCAGTATGTGAGTGTAAAATCCATCAGTCCACCTGATGCAGAGAGAACAACAGACAGACATCGGTCATGGTGCTGTGCGATCCGCTCCGCCAGGTCTCAGTCCCGGTGTTCATAAAGATCCTGAATTTCCTTCAGCAGCACAGCCGGTTACTCATCCTCTTTTCCACCAGGATTAAAGAAACCCCATACTGACGTTTAAATCCTGTACATTATTACACAATATCTCATATAGGTTTGACTGCAAACATCTGAATACCACAGTGGGAAGTGGCCGAATGTCTGCAGAGGCTGAATGTGTGACGAGGCCCTCTCACATCTGGACGGCTGTCTGCAACCAACACGAGGCCCACGACAGAAAGACGGTTTCCTTCATCTATCTGGGAGAAAACCATCTAGGAGGAGGCATCAGGCTGATGAGTGTCTCCAACCTGAACATTCGGCTCAGTGAACACTACGGTAAACTGTCAGACACTTGTCGATCAATCGAGATTTTTGCTGATAATTGTTTTGGTGACAGTAACAAATTAATTCACAATGTTTGACAATGTTCTAAACCCACTGGTCCCACCACTAACGAGAATCAGAGGATCAGGCATTTCAGAAGCGTTCCTGGCACATCTGCTGAATCAGTGTGCTGTGATGGAGACGGTGCACTGCTCACTGTGGACAGAGCGACCAGTTTCAATCCGGGCTTGTACAGAAAGCCAGAAATGATGGCATGATGTCTTTTATTACTGTTTATTTTGATGATCAACTCAACACAGTTATTCACAAACATGTCATCTTCCTGAAAGGCTGATGTTCAGATGTTACAACAAACAGAGCAAAAACACTTCACATAACTATAACGAAACACTCCCCTACATTACCAGAGCAATACCTGAGAATGACCACCAGGTGCCACTGTAGGGATCTAAACGCGCATACTCTGACCCCTGACTATTAGTTGTTTTTAGTGTGGTCATGAATTAAACTAGTAAATTATTTACTGTTTCTGTTGAGCTTTTTGTGGTACAAAGAGTTTACAGATTAGTAAGAGCTAGAAGATGATCTAAAAGTCCCGCTTCAGACTAAAATAGTAAGTGTGTGTGTGTGTGTGTGTGCGCGTGTGTGTATATGTGCAGTGGTCAGAAAGTCGATAAGATGACTCAGACTCAACTTTATTTTGCCGTTTAGGGAAACAACAATCTGGCATGGGTCTTGGGCTTTTCCAGGTGATTAAACAGGTAATTTAACCGTGGAAGATTAACATCTTCAACTCCCCTGCTCTGTCTAAATGCAAACTGCAAAGGATCAAATTTATCCTTTGAATACAATAAAATCTCACCTTTAATAATTCTCTCGAAACACTTCATAACTAATGAAGTAAGGGCAACAGGTCTAAAATCATTTAACTCCCGCAGAAACTTAGTTTTGGCTATAGAAACAGATTTCTTCCATATTTCAGGAACTCTTTGCAACGCAAGAGACTGAAAAAATGCAATTAAATATTTCAGAAAGTTGTTCAGCACATGTATAAAGCACCCTACCACCAACATTATCTGGGCCCGGGCTTTTTTTAGTATTAATTCTCTGAAAGAGGTCTTTGACCCGAGTCTTGCTAATGTTTACGGATATACTACATGACAGGTGTTTTAAAATGTCATTTTCTGACTTAAAATCACCCTCATCAAACCTTAAGTAAAATGTATTTATTTCCTCAGCAAACTCTCTCACAGAACTTAAACCATTTAAATTGGTTTCATTGCCCCTTCTATCTTCTTTACTCCCAGCCATTGTGTTCACACCTTGCCAGGCTGATCTTAAGTTATTACTGCTGGACAGCTTTTGTATTTTCTCTTTCTCTATTTTTTTTATGTACACTGTTTGTTCACTGCTGAATCATCCTAATCAAAGCAATCATCTGAGATGTGTGTGTGTTTGTGTTGTTAATATCATTGACATGACCATTTCAACTCTATCATCTCAAATAAACTGCATGAATCAGTTTACCTGAAAGAAGACTTTTTAGTTTGTATACACAGATTGTAAATTACCACACTAAATCAGCTATACTCCTCATAAACGGTAACCCCACAGAAATATTTTTGATCAGTAATGCCAGTTTATTTGCTCAACACTTATTCTACACAACAAACGACTAAAATGCAGAAAAAATTAAACCAAAACATTAAAAAACGGCCGAGATATAAAGGATTAAACCTGCCCGAAAGCACACTCAGCTGAGGACACACAGGATTGGTCAAAAAACACGAATACTAATGAGTCATTTGCATATGGTCTATTCTCTAATAAAACACGATTTTAAAGGGCTTCATAAGCTTAAATATGATAAACAAAGTATGGAAAAACAACCTAGACATCAGATAATCAAATTCTGAATAAAAATATACAAACAAGAAGAAAGAAAAACCCAAACAAACAAATGGTCATCACCATTGCCGAAATGCTGTGTCTCAACACCTAGTCAATGGACCAGGGTTGCTTGATCTTCAGGGTAATGCTCCCAACGGTTATCCCTGATAAGGATGATGTCTGCTTGGTTCTTGCATTACCTTAGGGGAGACGTTTGGTAGAAGAATGATATATCTACAGCGATATATCCGCCAGACTGAACCTCGACCTGACCTCATAAATTTTATAATTTCTTGTAATTAGTGGGAGGTCAGGAATATCTCTTTGAATTCTTCTAGTCACATTCTGGCGAAATTTTTTTGGTCAAATTGGATTTAAGGACCTCCTTGGATGTTGACTAAGTATTCTGGAGCAAATCAGCAGGGAGTGAGGAGAAGGCAATGACCAGTTCATGGCCAATTTTTACTCCTGAATCTACCTGTTAGATTCAGCTGATTTGGGCAAGGGCTCTCCTGTTCCCTGGAGCTATCTGGGGTCCTGGGGAGCCTGGTCTCTGGATTAGCCAGAGTAGGCCTCATAGAGAAACATCTTCAGACTCTTCTCGGGTGACCTGGGCAACCTTGCGGTGTTAACAAAAGGTCACTTGGGGGAGTGGTAAGTATTCAGCCCCCCTGGGTCCACTTGGACAGCACGCAGGGACGGTGGCCTTGGGTGAATGGCCTTAAATGAAGCCCAGTCTTCTACTGGTGATTAGCACCTCCACACAACAGCACATTGTGCATCAACACCACCTACACCAGTCATTCAAGAACTTTTCAAAAAAATCATCAATTCAAACATGAGATCTACTGAAGACTTGTTACCTCAGAGTTTACTAGGATTAAGGTTAAGGAGTAAGATTAGTACTTCCATAGGGACACTTTAAATCACCAAATCTCAAATTATAACCCTACAACTTTTCAGAATGACCAGATTTTCCCTTTCTTTAAGATCCATTATTTCCATGGGAAGATTTAAAATGTTTATTCTTCTATAACTTGTAACCCAGAACTTTTCAGAAAAAACCCTACATGCCTTCTCCAGAACATCTGTAGTGTACATGGCTGGTTTAAAAGATCTTCTCTAACTCCTAGAACATCTAACCCCAGAACCTCTCAGTGAAAGTAACCACACTTCTCTTTTACAATCTCAATTTCATGGGAATATTGGAACCTCTTCACATAAATATTTTAACTCTACTGGTTCCAGTTTCCTCTTGAAAAATCTCAAATTTAAATAAACATCTCATATCATGAATTCCTTTTGATAGTGAGAATCCTTTCAAAAACAAAAGTGCTCACTTTAAGGCTCTCACTTAAGCAATAAATCAGTTTGGTTCTATTGTGAAATTTATTATTTTTTTCTTCTCTCCACATAGCGTGATTGTAGACATTAACAACTACACAATGGCATAGACAGTACACCTATTTCCAAAATGTATTTCAGACAGTACTTGATGTCATTTGCAGTGTCTCATAATAAAGTTAACCCTTTGGGAGATATTTCTGATGACTGGTTTAAAATGTGTCCAGAACCTTAACTCAATATAATTTGCCAGGCAGCTGCTTTGAGGTTTATTCACATTAAATCAGCTTTTTGGGCAGCTCAGTGCTCTGGGCATATGGGTTACCTTGGAAATCTCTCAACGACTTGTTCACTCATTTCATAAATGATTTCCTTCTTCTGTGGAATCTCCCTTATCTGCCTCAGTTTCTTGAGCATTCATACAAACTTCTATCTACTATAACTGTTCGGCCTAAGGATCTTTGCGGATGTGCATGCTTCATTTTCACATGAGAGGTTTAAAACAGGTCCGTTTTCAGAGATTAATTTCATCGTTTAATTTGGACTACTGAAAGTCCAAACAATGAAAATCCATCCATGCTCAACTACACAAGCCCCAAACCAAGCGAGCCAGTTTACCAACCGACCAAAGTAAAGGGGAAGAATAACCTCAAACCAGGCTCAGTTGGGCATGACCATTTCTCCTCTGGCCAAACTTCCTGTACAGAGCTGCAGTCTAGGCACCGGAGGCTGGAGTATGGTGGACATCCATTGTGGAAAAGCTTCAGATGGTATAGGTCACTGGCTGGTGTACAGACTGACCCTTCAGGATCAATACATGGACCCGTGGGTCACTATAGGGTCTTAAAGGAATCAATCTCATGCT